ACAGCTAAGTGTTGTCTGCGTAGTTATAGCAACTAATGTTGTTTATTAAGATCAGAGTTAAAGGGGAATGTTGATATTGAATAAAGTTATTGTGTAACTTGATCTTTGAACTAGAACTTTCAAATTCAAAACTAACTGCAGCTACTCAGTGGAAATCAGTCAAAGGAATCACAGATTTGACCAAAATCAATTGATCTCAACAGAAAGCTCCAGAACACTCCATCTTCATCCTTCACGCTTGTGCACACAACCCAACCGGCACAGACCCCACCCAGGAGGAGTGGAAGACCATTGCGGAGATCATGAAGGTGAGCTGCCATGATGCTGATTCAGATGAAGACTGTTTTATTAGTTTGTATATTGAAGACTGGGTCTGTTTGTTCTTGTTTTTCCAGAGGAGGAAGTTGTTTCCGTTCTTTGACTCGGCTTACCAGGGTTTTGCATCTGGCAACCTGGAGAAGGACGCCTGGGCGATCCGCTTCTTCGTCTCAGAGGGCTTCGAGCTCCTCATCGCTCAGTCCTTCTCCAAAAACTTTGGCCTCTATAGTGAGTAGACTTCAAGCTCTCTCGCTGTGTGCGATGGACCCAAGGTTTAGAGAACTCATATTTTAACCAGTTCTCCTTTGCGGCTTTCTGTAGATGAGAGGGTTGGTAACCTGACGGTGGTTTCTAAGGACAACGAGACCCTGACCCGGGTTCTGTCCCAGATGGAGAAGATTGTGAGGACCACCTGGTCCAATCCTCCGTCTCAGGGTGCCCGAATCGTCAGCAAGACCCTCAACTGTCCTGAGCTGTTTGCAGAATGGTTCGTTCATAACTGGACCTGTAGCTGTTCTCCATCAGGTCACAATATTAGGTCATTTTCATTCATTTGTCCCCCCCCTCCCCCACCCACTCAGGAAGGGCAATGTGAAGACCATGGCAGACCGGGTCCTGCTGATGAGGGATCAGCTGAAGAGCAAGCTGCTGGCTCTGGGCACTCCAGGAACCTGGGACCACATCACCCAGCAGATCGGGATGTTCAGTTTCACCGGCCTGAACCGTGAGTCCCATTCTGATCCCAAGAGGCTGCATTGCTAAACACGCTTTATTCATCCAAACAAGAAGGGGGGAAAAGCACTTCCTTGCCTGCTTCATGTTCCTACTTGTCTTGTTAGAGGCTTTTTTGTTCTAAGCTGTGATGTTTTTCCTGTTGTGAAGCCTGCCTCCGGGTCCACATTAGAGAACAAGCAGCCAAAAACACATTTATATGGAGCTTTCCTTAAAGTCGTAGAGAAGCAGCTGTTCCAACCGCTGCATTTCCAAATTCTCCTGAGTGGTGCCCGACTTTACACGAATGATAAAGTGAATGTAATTGGTCGTTTAGCAAGGGGGCGGGATTGTTGTGGCGGTAAAGTTCTGCATTAATGAACTGTGGAACGGCAAGCTTTCAAGGACATTCAAAAAACTGACACATGGATCTACATGCTTGAGCTAATAAAATAATATCAAAAAATTGCAATATCGGTTCAAAATAATCACAATTTTGATTTTTGGCTAAATTATTATTCTCCCTCACTTAGTAGTTTCTTTACTCTGTGGCATCTTGCTAACCAGTTAGCAACATAGTGCTAGAAGCTTCCCAATTGGAAATTACATTGGGATTTGCCAAAGTTTCTTGTTTGTACATCAAACAGTTGGGGAGAAGCAGTCATGTGCAAATTCCTGTAACTGGCATAATAATTCGTACCGATGTAATTCTTGCACCGTTTAATTCATGACGGATAGTGTAAAGTTTTAATCCCAATTTAATAAAAAAACATAAAAGATATAAGCTGAGCTAAATCAGAATACAGGGTTCCCCCGGGTCCTTAAAAAGTCTTAAAAGGCATTGAATTCTTCAAAATAAAACTAAGGCCTTAATTGGTATTAAAATGTCTTAAATGTCGAATCCAGAGGACCATTTCTGCCGGTTTTCCCTAAAAATCTGAGGAT